GAGAGCCAGAGCAGTCGGGAGAAGAGTTGTAACCCTCGAATGAACAAATGATGTGACAACACAGCAGCTTCCCAAAACAGGCTCACCTGCCCGCAGGGAGAAGGAACCATCTCCTGAGCAAGATGGAATCCCACCTGGACAGGGCCCTTTAAATGAGATCATTGCACATGCAAGTAACTCCCTCCGAGGCTGCTGCAGGAGAGCGACCCCCACCTCTAGCCCCAGGTGCAAAGAACTGAGGGAGACCAACAGGGCTCGGCTCCAGGCCAGGCTGCCTGGGTCCACCGGCCAAGACCATTGCCAAGCCGCAGGGTGAACTCCGCAGCAGGGGGAAGTGGCCCATCTCGCCCAGTCTGCAGGTCTCCAGGGGCTTCTTCAGGGCTGACGGGCTAAAAATAACCCGGCCTTTGTTGTAAGCAGCAGACCACAGAGACGGAGCTGACTTCAGGGGAGCCGAGCATGCGCGAGGGTCCGGCTCAGCGAGACCTGCCCTTTGGGCAAATGATTTTCCCAGAAACCTGTCAGTTGTGCGCTGCTGCTGTTGCCACTGCCTGTGAGATTCAAAGACAGCCCAAGCTGCTCCAGCCTACAGGGTGGCCTTCCAACACAGGCTTCTCGAAATCTGAGCCTCTTTCTTCTTGATCCATTAAAAAAAAAGTCCAGTCGGTACCGGAGAGCTTAGGAGAGAAAAGCGGCCCTTGAGCTGAGGCTCTGCAAGGCCTCCACCTTGGTCATGAATAATCCCATCACCCCAGTTATTGTCTAGGTAACGACAATCTCTCCCCAATCCTAAAATTTCCAGAGTCAGGTCTCAGACACAAGGGCAGACACACATTTGGTGGAGGGAAGAATTACTTGGGAAAGGGAATTCATTGTGTCACATCAATACTGAAGGGTTTCTCGAAGGGGCAGTCCTTTTTACCTTTTTACCAACATTTAGATTTTCGACTGTGTAGGCTTCTTCACTTGCCTTCCTGGTTCTTGAGCCACCACCCCACCCCCAGGAAAGCTCCAGACCAGGCAGGTTGGGAGGCAGAGTCTAACATCTTTCTCTGCCAGCGGCTGTGGCTTGTCTCACCTCAACGATGCCCCAGTTCCGCGGGTGAAGGAACCGCATAGCAGAGCCGCTCCTGATGGTAACAAATACTTCTTGGCTGTTGCAGGGCCTCGCAACTGTCTTCAGAATGTCTCCTCGCCCCACCCCACCCCACCCCCAGGGCCTCCACCTCCCTCCCCAGCCCCATGCACAGACCACCCTGGCTGTGATGCCACTGGACATCTGCCCGGTCCAGAAGGCAGCTCTTCCTCTTCACACAGGCGAGGAAGAGGAGGGACTTTCACTGTCAAGACGGCCTCCAGGCTCTGGGTCTAGAAGTTTCCAGGGTGGCTTCCTCACAGCCCTTTGTTCCTCCCGCTGACTTCAGGGTGAAGAGCCTAAGCTGGAGGCAGGAGGCTGGGAGATTTCTTAGAAGACAATAGGTAGAAACAGCACACACACGAGTAACAGATGGTGGGAACCAGTGAGAGGGCCGCAGTGCTGGGCTGTTCTCCAAAAGTGCAAGATCCTTCTGGTTGAAACAAGGCGGGCAGGTGGGCTGGAGTGTGGAGACCGGTGTGTGGGAGCTACGTAGACAGCTCGCCCTCTGGGTTCCGTGTGTCACGCCCTCTGGTTACTGGCTTTCCTCACAGTTGGTCTGTCTGGATACACGGGAGGAGGGGCTCAATCGGCTTTGAACTGGGCTCTGGTTCAACCTCTCCAGCAGCAAGTCACCTGCGGTGACCCGGGGCCCTAGGCTTGGCAGCCGAAGGCTGAGGCTTTCTCTTTGAGCAGTTCCCAGCACAAGTGGCAGCTCCAGCTTCCTACAAGAAACAAGACAGCATGACCAGCGGCACCTCTCCCAGCCCTCAAGTCCCACCCTGGGCCCTCACTTCTTCTAAGCCCTGTTTTCTTTGGACTTTCACAATTCAGAGAGCGTATCCCAGTGCTGAAAACGGGCTGGAGTCTGCAGCTCAGGAGAGCAAGTGCTGCTCAGAAAACCACAAGTGCTCAGGGAGGACCAGCTGAACTGTTGGAAAGACCCTCCCTCCTTGATCCTGCCTCGTAACCAGCATCCCCAGGCCTGGCCAGCTCCCCTGGAAGCTTCGCCTCCCACCCTCTCAGCCACGTGTCTGGGAAACATCTCTCCGGGCCTCAAGTTGAAATTTCAGGTGGTCGAACTGTGCCTCAGTTTCTTCGTCTGTCAAATGGTAGTGGTGGTACCTAACTCGTGGGGTTGTGACGATTAAATGAGACAAGATATGTAAAGCCCTTAGCATAAGGCCAGAACTCTAGAGGCCTCAATAAGTGGGAGTGGTAGCTGCTGTTGTGATTGTCGACCTCATCCCCATTACCTTCTGGGGGCTCAGCCACAGGGGGGTTTAAACAGTACATGTGGTAGCCACGGTCACAGTCATCACAGAAGAGTAGCTGGTCCTGGTGGAATACAGAGTAGGTGATGAGAAGGAGAACGAGACTGAATTATTTAAGGCCAATGTCTTCCCTACTCTACCAGCCTTATTTCTTTTCTTTTCTTTTTTAATTGAATGCCAGCTGAAACTGGCTTTCTTTCTTCTTCTTTTATTTATTTTTTAATCCTCATCCAAGGACATGCTTTTATTGATTTTTATAAAGAGAGGAAGGAAGAGGGAGAGAGAGAAAAACATCGATGGGCGAGTGAAATATTGATCAGTTGCTTCCCACATACACCCCAACTGGGGATCAAACCTGAACAGGAATTGAACCCTTGACCCTTGGTGTGTAGGACAATGCTCCAACCAACTGAGCCACACCGGCCAGGGCTCCACCAGCCTTATCTCCAGAGATCAACCTCCCCGGACGCCCCTTTCCAGAACCCATTTAGAGTCTTCATTGTCCCCTGAGCATGCTTTGCCCACACCTGGAATTTCCCCTTCTACCTCCCCAACTATGCAAATCCTACCCTTAGTTTCGGATTCTGCTAAAATCATACCTCCTCCAAGAAGCCTTTCTTGACTACCACCTCACATCTAAGCTAAAGGGATGCGTTATTCTTTTGAACTCCCACAGCCGATAACTCTGCCTCTGAAAGGGCAGAAAACTAAATCTACGCATTTCTATACTCCCATGAGGATTGCCCAGTTCACAGAATATACTTTAGACGTCTGAAAATTGTACTTCAACTCCTCTGAACCTCACTCTATCTGTGAAACACGCAACAACCATACTTGGTGGTAACATCCATGACACCTCAGAACCATTTTAGGGTTTCAGAGTGACTCTAGAGAAAGGCAAATGAAGCCATTTTTCAGCTCCCAAATACCTCCTCAGGAGCGGGAGGCTGGAGCCCAGGTGAGAGCAGGGCCTTCCAGCTGTGGTTCATTTCCGAGGACACAGTATACCCCTGGCCTCCATCAGGTCCTTCTGCCTGGAGGCTCTCCCAGTCCCTGACCCCTTCTCCTCTGGACCATTCCCTGCCACTCTTCAAGTTTTCAACCCCTTCTTCCCACAGAGGCTTCACTAGTCTATCCCTACTTGCATCCCCATAGTTCTTTCCCTTAAGACATTGAATTGCCTTTCCCCTTACGTTACAAAGCCCGGTGTGTGGTAGATATCTAACTATTCTGTTAAATAGTTCATTTGGAACATGCCTCTTGTCCATTCCTCTGTGGACTGTGAGGCCCATGGGGCAGAGCCTTGAATGACTCATCTCTGCATCTCCTTCAGAACTTCCTTGCACATAGAAGCTCCTCCGTAAAGGTTTTGATCTGGTCACCACTCTCCAGCCCTGTTCTATTCAGTGATCTTTGGACCCGCTTTGATAGCTTATAAGATGTTTGTAAAATTATGTTTTATATCAAACCTCACCCGTGCAGAGATCCTGGAAAAAGTAGATACGGAAGTTGGAAACCCTGGTGAGCAAACAATGAAGAGGGAGAGGTCAGGAAAGACCTTTTGAATCATGCCAAGACTTCTCAGTGGGGCAATGGGAGGCTTTTGAAGCGTCAGCAACAGTGGAGTGACATGGTCAGACTTGCAATTTAGAAAGATCTCACTAGCTACTGTACAAAAATAGTTACCCAGGTGGAGAGACATTGCTTCTAGAAACCAGAGACCAGTTAAAAGGCTGCTGTAGCCATCCAGGTGGGAGATGACGGTGGCCTGAACTAGGGCTGTTGTCATGGGGGAAAGCAAAGGGCCCTTGCTCCCATCTAAGAGTCACCAACTAGATGTGGAGAATGACAGGGAAGAAATCGAGAATATCTCCTAGGTTATGGCGTGGACAGCAAGTCAAATAATATAACTACCCACTGAGACATGGACGGACGAACAGATCTATGGAAGGATCTATGGCAGCCTCAGTTATAGATACTGGTATGTTCTACAGATTATGCTGGAGGGATGCCCTAGAGCCGTGGTCGGCAAACTGTGGCTTCCGAGCCACATTCGGCTCTTTGGCCCCTTGAGTGTGGCTCTTCCTAAGCCTTAGGAGAACCCTAATTAAGTTAATAACAATGTGCCTACCTATATAGTTTAAGTTTTAAAAATTTGTCCCTCAAAAGAAATTTCAATCGTTGTACTGTTGATATTTGTCTTTGTTGACTAATGAGTTTGCCGACCACTGCCCTAGAGGCATGTGGAGGTCAGAAAAGGGGTCTGGGTGTGAGATATGGATTTGGGAGTCATTTGTGATTAAACAGCAATGATGGTCCTGGTTGAGGAAGCCTAGAGTGTGTGAGAGAAGAAGTCCTTGAATTTGTGCTCATGGAAAGGTGTGCATGAACTCCTTGAAATTATATGCACAATTCTGTATACAGATAGAAATAAATGTACATTTTTCTGAGGAAAGAGTAGCTTTCATTGAAAAGCTACTTCTGAAAAATCAAGAACTCATCTAAGGTTCTGAGACAAAGGCCAAGAATAGACTTCTGGAAAGAAAAAAAAAGAGACGAAGAAGCAGTCAGAGAAGTAGAATGAAAACAGGACAGGGTGGTTTACTCCAAAAGAGTTACACCATGGTTGTCAGAGCAGACGTAAGCTATATGACCATATAATACAGGGGTAATGCGGGGAGAGAGAAGTCAGGATGAAGACAGAAAATAGGGAGAGATGCATCAGAAACAGAATTACCAGTGTCCTACAGATACTGATAACCCTACTACAGTGCCGACATGAGAAATACAAGAAGGTTGAATTCCCAGATTGAACTCTCCTAAAGGGAAAGCAGGCATCTGTGGGTTTAAATGATTTTTGCATGGGTTGATCACTATCTAACACCATAATCTCTTCTTTCCCATCTGCTTTTCAGGATAATTGCCTGCCAAAACCACCAAGAAATCCCAGCTCATGCTAACCCCCATGAAAAACACAGTTTAAGGACCTCTTACTCCCAAGTATCCAAGAAGCAGGATCCACCTATGGCTACAGTTCCAGAGAATGGGAATCCCATTCTAGGGTGTGCAATACAAATCCCTGACTAGGAACCCTATTGCCCAAGCAGCCTCACCCCTCGATTATTCCCCTAAGGCTCTGCCAAGTCAACATCAATAAAAACACCTCAGCATGAACACTCTATGTAAAGCCAAGGATTAGAATCAACTGTAGGCAGAAAATAAGATTATATTTATGTATTGCTTTGGAGTAGTCTCCAGAATTTTCAATAAAAAAGCAAGGTGAAGGTGTACATTGGTTGCCATTTTCTAAGATGCATCCATGTTTTTATGGACTCATTTACACATACATATGCTTACACTAAAACAAAATGGAAAGATAAAACATGACTTTTAAATTGTTACCTATAAGCAAAGTGAGAGGAAAGT